AGTCTGCAGGGCTGCTAAATATTGGGAAGTGAAATATGAAGTTAATCAATTCTTTCCAGAGGAATATCTGGAAATTTAACTTAATCCACTTACCGACGCGGCTCATAGAGTGTGAAGTGCTCACCAGCGAGGGGGTCCAGTGGATTTCTAGCAAAGAATAACCAATGATACCCCCCAGCAAGGTGGGTTGCTCCAAACACCTGGTACTTTTGGGGGGCATTTGGGGAACTATAGAGATCCATAGAGGTTGACAGATTCCCCTTGTTGTATACCATGCTATACCTATAAGATTTTGTCGCGAGGCAAAAACTTGAGCCAGAACAGCCCCTGGCAGCCCCTAGGTCCACGGGTGGAGCGGTGTCTCTTCGTAGGGGGATTCAAACAAACCTTCATACCCTCTGGTAAACTAACATAACTATGGAAAATCACCATGTTTAATGGGTAAATCCACTATACAAATGGCCATTTTCCATAGCTATGTAAAATTACCAGAGGGTAACCCTCCCCCCAGTGACCCTCAATGTTGGGCGTTTTAGAGGGTGAATCTCAAGCACAACCGATCCGCCGACGAAGATCTAGAATCACCATCGTTGGGGTGTCACCGGAAAAGGGCAGGGTTTTTTAAAAGCAATGATTTAGATACCCTCTGATAATTTAACATAGCTATTAAAAAAAAAACATTTATAGTTGATTAATATACCTGTCAAAAAATGAGATTTTCCATACTTATGTTAGTTTACCAGAGGGTATGTATATATATATACATGTATTCTTTTTGTTTGGGTCATAGCTCTCGAGTCGCCAAGAATTGTCTGACTGACTATAGAAAAAACAGTTGATGTCGTCCGAGATGAATACAACAATCTCGAATCAATGGATCATGTCAATTTTCAATTGGATTCTATAGCATCACCCTGCATCATCAAACCCATCCATTTTCCTGGATATAACATGATAAGTATATAGCTCATTTCTACGCCAGCACAGATAAGGATTGATAGCCAACGCGGCCTCCTATGAGACAGCTATATCTTCCGTGATTACTATTCAAGACTATCATCCAACTAATTCCCTCCCGCTTATGCAAAACACCCCAAAAATCATGTCTTTTTTGGGATGAAACTTTTAGAAAACAACGAAAATCAGGGACCAGCCACCCCTTCCCAGATCTCTGTCGTTCTTAAACCGTCCTTGGAGCCGGTGATCACCGTGTCCCCTTCGTAATTGAAGGCGCACGAAAAGATTTCGTCACTGTGACCTTCCAAGACCTGCGCCAAACGACCTGGAACCCCCCCAGCTACCCCCAAAAGAATGGGAAAAGTACGAAAATGACATGGTAAAACACATTAGAATATCATTTTTGATACTTGGAGGGTCGAGGTAGAACTAAATCAACTTAGCTAACGAAGTGCGGCACCGCCCTGTGCGATGCTGGATGCTGGATGATGATGCTGAACTGAACTAATGGTGAAAGATCAACTGTGGGGGGGCTTTCCCCCAAATGTTCAGACATCTTATGGAGGTTTGGAAAACGCAAGCTGTTGGGCTTTGGAAGGGGTCAACCAACACACCAACATCCATGGGGAAATCCCAAGCTTCAAGCTACTGAGGATGGTTTTTCACTCGCGTTTTCAGTTTGTGGGCGTCATGTTCTTGGTCTTCAGCAGTGAAAAACACGGAGAAGAAGAAACCAAACTTGAGGTTGGAAGAAGTTTCTTCTTTTCTTGCTCAGAGATTGTGCTACCTTGTACCTTGTAGCTTTGTCTTGTAAGGCGGGAAAGAACGCAGGAGATTCGTCATGCCTTCAAAAAGGAGCACGATCAGATTGAGGCCATGATGCGTTTATGGTTGAGCACTGGAAACTCTACATATGGGGCTGTCTGAAAATAGGGTATCCCCAAATTTGATGGTTGATCATAATAATTGTCCTTATTAAAATGACCATTTTGTGGTACTCACCGTTTTTGGGCAAACCTAAATTCACTGGGGTAAACCTCAGTTGGTGTTATTTTTGGGTATACTGTTTACCCCTATTTGGAATGATGCTTGTTGTGGCCCACAACACATGGTTTTGGAATTGCTCCTTGTATACCCAATGGTTGGACAAACACAAAAGGATCAAATGAGGCTTTCTGTAGCAACCGGAAAAAACCCATTTACAGATGGTTTTTCCCGGCTATAAACCTCCATAGAAACCGGGATTTCAATTGCCACGTTTGATCAACCAGTTGAGAAGGACGAATCTATGCCGCAATTAGCCCAACTTCAGCATCGGTCTGGAGAACCAGGAACTTGGACTTATGGTAGAGATATATATATATATATAAAATAAAAATATATTATATGGATATATATGGTTGTTTCATGTTGTTTCCGTAAATGTGGGATCCCCAAAATGGGTGGTTTATAATGGGAAAATCCTACAAAAAAATTGATGATTTGGGGGTATCCCTATTTTAGGAAACCCCCATATCAATAGTATATACCATCTGGCAATTTAATATAACTATTGAAAATTTCCATTCGTAGTTGATTTACCCATTAAAAATGGTAATTGTCTATAGCTATGTTAGCTTACCAGGAGGTAAACCAACTTATTATATACAATTATCTGGATAATTTGTAATATTTCACCAATCTGAATTAAGGCTATTTGGGGATGATTTCCCGAATCCTACCCATGATTCCAGTGAGGGAGAACAGTGATGTCGTTATAATTTATCCAGATTTATATATATATATATATAATCATTATCATTCCCCATAGATAAAATATCTACCATAGTGATTTATATATACACACACACTATTTTGGCGTCACCTTGTGGGTTGGAGCCCGGTTGCATGAGACCATCCGAACCTGCAGGCATTCGCCCGTTTCAACCGACCACAGCCGACACGTTCTGTCCTCGGGTTGAGGGTTGTGGTTCCTGGGCATCCTTCATGGATCTTTACAAGGTGGTGCCCCCCCAGTGATGTGAACGTTGGTTTAAGAATAGTATGTCAATATATCATATCATGATATATCTACCATAAACCATAGTGACTTTGGAGTTATATATTCGCAACAACTGAAAGCAATTTAGCTCACTGGGGCACCACCTTGTATGGAAGAATGTTATCTTCATTGGGGTCCAAGTTCTTCCATCGAGTTTTTTCAAGCATTTGATCCACTTTTTGACCACTGAAATTCATAGGTAAATACATAACGGCACACCATGGCCCTGGTATGGCCATTGCATCAAACCATCTGAAAAAAATCCCATCATTGGGGGTCCCAACAAAAATTCCATGGGGATATTGAGTTATAGAGATGATACGTGCACAACTGCTATATCTTCGGCTGAATTATCATAATTCACTCTGAAAAAATTGATGCAACAAATTGAAGTACAGTACGGCGAAATACAGCCATTTCACGATCAAATCTATCCAGAAAACAGGAAAACTTGGGCCTATCTAGGTTTGTCTTGAAATGGGGTCCCGATGGCCCCGCACGTGTGGTCATTAGAAACATGGTAACACCATGTAACACGGATTTACACAACCGTGTGTGTTTGACATCCATGTGCCAAAGCGCCTCACGTTTTGTCATTTTTTCAGTGACCAATTTCTACATCAGACGACGAAAAGTTTCAAGAGCCTTTTTTTTCATCTCGCATGTGGTCGTCATATCTCACTTAGACATGTTGTGGCGATAGATCCACTGATAGATTCTATCCCAGAATCTAGCATTGATGGTTGGGCCAGTGCGGTTTTTCATCTGACTGGGGCATTTTTTTCCGGTGGTTCCAAGTTCCAACAAGGACCAATTTGTTGGGCTCCTGCAGCTTTCGTGTTTGTGCAAGCGTGCAAGAACATTACATCAACGTAGCATGACGTAGTTCCGCAAGCGTGCAGGAACGTTACATCAACGTAGCACTGCGTAGATGTGCAAGCGTGCAAGAACGTTACATCAATGTAGCACTGGGTGGATGCGCAAGCGTGCAAGAACGTTACATTAACGAAGCACTGCGTAGATGTGCAAGCGTGCAAGAACGTTACATCAACGTAGCACTGGCGTAGATGCGCAAGCCTGCAAGAACGTTACATCAACGTAGCACTGCGTAGATGTGCAAGCGTGCAAGAACGTTACATCAACGTAGCACTGCGTAGATGAATGTTACATCAACGTAGCATGATGTGGTTCCGCAAGCGTACATGGACGTTATTAGCCCACCCCACCCCACCCCACCCCCTCACCTGTACTATCCATGTGCGGTGACAACAAAAATCTCAACGCTTACCACGGTTGTAGAAATACGTGTCACCAGAAACATGGGAATTTTGGCTGACAAAACTTGTCAGGAAAACTTGTCACTATCCAGGGATGAATTGATGACAAACCGTGGTGATTTGGGGATGCCCTATTTTCAGACACACATCCAAGCTATTTCAATCTTGGGCACGTCCCACCCAGACACCTGTATTACTAATCTACAATATATACCCAAGATTTTCATGTTCCGATACCATTATGATAACCAGTAATGATGTACCATGTACTGTAGCCCATTATTTTCAGACCGTTTCAGGCTGTTTGCAGTAGAGATTTGGGATGGGACCTCTTTGAAAAAGAAACCACTATTTAAAAAACTGATAGTTTCATTGGATTGTTTTACAGGAAAATTTACCGATGATCTTCATAGTAAAAACCATGGTTTCCTGTAGATTTTCCCTTAAACCAATCCAATGATACTTTGTGGGGACTATTCACATGCATACATCACAGCTGTTTCTCATGGTGAACAGAAGGACATTCCATGGTTTAACTAACCAGTGCAGCCAGTGGAGACTCCAATCGATGCGTTCAAAAAAAGGGCGCCCGCTTCATGCT